ACGACGTTCGCACTGCTGGTCGTCCTGATAGGCCTAATTAGATCGCGAGATCTATTGACAATTGTCATTCGTGGATCCATCTCCTTTTCGTTAGAAAAGGACCAACGTTCCGGTGCGCGCTCCGAACGAGAGACCATCAGTCGAATGCGGGAAACGTGCGAGCGAGTATTAAGTCGGTTCTCTAAAAGTTAATAAGGAGGTGTGGGAGTCAGAACGGAGTCCGCGCGATTACGGGTCTTCGCGATCCGCGTAAAATGTACGTGGTAATTAAGTGACTTTGCTCATTAAAGATCTTCACGTCAATTGTCGTTCAGTCTGATTTTACCGGCACCTATCAGTCACAAGCTGATTAGTGTTCCGAGCCGTCGGTGTGATAACGAACCAAGATTCGCTCCCCGAGCTATCGGAGGCGTACTCGTGAACAGAAACAGTCTAAATTTTTTAATAATCTGTATTTAATTTTAACACTATTATTACTTTAAGATTCAATGTTTCTTTTGAAATATTTATGAATATAATTTAGAAGATACAAAATCTTTAACAATAACATATTTTAACTAATAATGGGCTCTTTTTATAAAATAATTTTAATTACAGAGCAGTATATTAAGAGTTAAAAGCTAGAACTCAAATACATTAATGTTTTATTTTAATTTTTATTAATTAATTTATATTAATTAATTTGTATTTGCAAGTAATTTTTATTTTTATTAATTAATTTGTATTAATTTGTTAAATTGAGCACCAAGATCTAGCTTAGACTCTTAATACACTACTTCATAATTTAAATTACTAAACTTTTAATCAATATATATGTTACGTCCTGTACGGACCTTTCCCTTGCACAAGTTTCTCACGACCAGTCGGGAAAATTCAAAGAAACGTTCCGAAAATATTATTTTAATGATTTAAGATCCCGAATGTACCATAATAATCTTTTAGGCCTTCAATCAAAAATTTGTCGAGATAAGACACGCGACTGCGATAGTAGACTTTGAATTTTCGCCGACAGAAAAGCCGACGGAACGAT